TTTTTTGTAATATTTAATTGTGTAAGAGCTACGTAGACCGCTGCCAAATGTGCGGGTCTTGCTTTTTGTCCGGCAAGCGGGAGAAAAAAAGTTTTTCACCGCAGTGAAAATGTTGTATTTGAAAGTCAACAAATATGCCAACAAATATGAACTGAAGCAGAATATTTCTGTATATAAAACATGTTGTGAATTTTGAAAATGATTACATACAAATCCAAAATACAAAAAATACAAAATTTACAACGCTCTTGAGTTATTGGAAATGTTTGGATCAGATGAATTGAAAACAATTCTATGCAGCCACCACTGGAATCGTGATCCATGAATAAATGGATCTGTTATGATAGTATAGGAAATAATAAACATTGTCACTGTCGTTAAAAATAAAAGCCTAATTAGTTTGTTTTATTTCACAATATCAGTCTTGTCAGGGCTAAAATTAGCCTATTTGCATTAGCTATAGCATTACACTAGCATAAAAATAATAATAGCCCTTATTATTATTATTATTATTATTGTTGTTGTTGTTATTATTATGCCTATGATTTTGTCATAACATTGAAGTAGGCTATTATTGATAACAGCCAGGCTATAAGTCTTCCAGCCTAACATAGCCTACCTGGAACTGTGGCAGATTGAATGACAGCAGTTGTTGTATTGGAGGTGGCCACACGGCTTTTTACGAACAGGAATTTTAGCTCAGCAATAAAATAAAAACAACTAGAACAAAAGTTGCTAGCAAACATTGACGTGCATCTTCATCCGCAGGAAAAAAGTCGCAAAAGCAGAAATTATACACCTTCTGTAATGCGAACGGTCAATTTGACCGCTTTGGCCATTCAAGGTAGAAATACTCAGAACTCTTTTGTGTTTTGTAATTTTAATAAACTAACAATGTTATAATAAAATATACACACATTTAGGAAAAGTCAGGGTTTTATAGTTGTATGGGTTTTATTTCAACAAAGTTATTACATTTTAAAATGTAAAAATTGTCAAAATGAATGCCTTGGTAGTTCTAGTGTTAATACTCATTCTAATTCTATGAGAATACGGTCTATATCACAGCTGTAACACTAACAACACAGAGGAATATCATTGGAATCACTTTTGGGATGATTTTTCCAGAGAAGGAATGTTGAAAAACTTTGAGAATAAACATTTTTTTCAGAATACGCCCAATTTCAAAATGCTAGTGCAATTAAAGCAGCAGACGATATAAACAGCGCTTATTATAAAAAAAAGAAGTTAATATTCGTTAGTATGGATGCTAATATAGTTTAATATGTTTTTAATAATTGTCATATTGTGAACAAGCCTTGAGAAATACACTCACTTTTTCATGATAGGGCACATTATTATAGCAGCCATGATCTACTCCAATGTTGATGAAGAGAAAAGTTAATTTCCACATTACTTTATCCAACTCGTTAAGGGCACAACAACATTTTTCCCCACTAATTTTTCCATCTTTCTCATAAGATTATTTAAAAAAAAAAAAGATCCAGTGTTATTGTAAAGTCACTCCAGTTGAAGGGATTAGTGTAACTACTTAAATGTGTCATAATGTAAATAGAATTTAGAGTTTTGATTGTTATAAGACTTTAATTTTATATTTAAATTTAAAATTGGCTTTGTTTACCAATTGTGACCCTAGACCACAAAACCAGTCATAAGGGTCAATTTTTTTTATTGAGATATATACATCATCTGAAATCTGAATAATTAAGCTTTCCATTGATGTATGGTTTGTTAGGATAGGACAGGAATATTTGGCTGAGATGCAACTATTTGAAAATCTGGAATCTGAGGGTGCAAAAAAAATCTAAATATTGAGAAAATTGCCTTTAAAGTTGTCCAAATGAAGTTCTTAGTAATGCATATTACTAATCAAAAATGAAGTTTTGATATATTTACAGTAGAAAATTTACAAAATATATTGTAAAATATCTTTACTTAATGTCCTAATGATTTTTGGCATAAAAGAAAAATCGATAATTTTGACCCATATAATGTATTGTTGGCTATTGCTACAAGTATACTCGTGCTACTTAAGACTGGTTTTGTGGTCCAGGGTCACAAATGTGTCCAGTAGGGTTTTTGTGAAAAATGTCTATTTTGGTGAATTATGTACATCATGTATATAATAGTCTATTAATTATAGTATTTATTAGTATTTTGAGTTACATTTTATTTTATAGGTTAAAAATTGTCTTTTTCATTTTAGTTTAAGTGTTTTTGTAATGTGTTTTTGTCATTGTTATTTTTTATAGTTATATGTAGCTTTAATTTATTTTGTAATGCAGTTTGTCATTTTTGTACTGTAACTAAAACATTTATTCGTATTAGTAGATTTTTCATCTAATATTTATACTTTATTTTATTTTAATAATAGTTTTAGTTAAAAATAACAACACCTTTTATTAACATAATAATGTCTTTTAAATAACAGGAAACAAAAGACAAACTAAGAGAAACAACTTCCAAGCTGACTCAAGCAAAGGAGGAGACTGAACAGATTCGCAAAAACTGCCAGGACATGATCCGCACATACCAGGTACTGTTTACTGATGATGACAGGAAATCAGTACTGCCCACTAGAGGGCACCATATACAAACACTTGCCCTGCATGTAGAATGCAAAACAATGACTTGGAGAGACATTTCAAGTAGACGCATTTATAGTTTATTAAAAAGGTTGCTTCAGTCCTCTGCTCAACATAATATAAGTGGCTTATCTTCATCTGGGGGTATATAACCTAATTTGCAGTTTCTGTCGCTTGTTATAAACTTAAGTGGTTACTCCTCTCTGTCTCCTGTAGGAATCTGAGGAGATTAAGTCAAATGAATTGGATGCAAAGCTGCGAGAGACCAAAGGAGAGCTGGAGAAGCAAAAACAAGAGCAGACAGACCAGCTAGAGGTACAGTTTCACTTCATTTACACTCAAGATTCCCTTGAGTCAAAGTCATTTTAAGAGCATAAACGCAAGACAATTAAGAAAAAACCCAATCCAGATTGTTTGCATGATATCAGTATATTCTTACCCAGTAGGTACTGTCATAATATTAAGCCCTAATGATATCAATTTCTTCATTCATATTTGAGTAATGTGCTTCAGTAGGGAATAGAGGCCTCGTAAAAGTTTGTTTTAAAACCTTTTGGGGGTCAGGTGTTTGTTCTTACTACACCTCATATGTCTTTGGTTTGCTTCTTTTAGCAGGCTCTGCCACTGCATCTCTGAGAAAACCCGTTTGGCCCGTATGGCACCTTGCCACCTGCTTTTAAATGTATTTATGAGTAAATGAGCCTCCATTCACCAAGCGTCATTAGTACCTGAGGCCGACAATGAGAGTGCGTACTCCCTTATCAATGAGTCGCCCCTCTGCAAGAAATAGTGTTATTAACATTTGCATTCTCATTTGCATTATTAACAGTGTTGCCTAGCAGGTGTCCTCTGCTGATTGTGATTACAATAATGAATAATGGTGATGCGGTGTGCGAAAGGAGGGGTTTTCATGGTCATTTTGTTTGATTGGCAGATGCACAAAGCTAAGATTAAGGAGTTGGATGATCTGAAGAGGACTTTTAAAGAAGGCATGGATGAGTTGACCACCCTGCGGACCAAGGTGGAAACTCATTTCTAAAGATAACACTATGAAATGATTCTGTGTAAGAGTACATTATTCTGACACTTTGGCACTCTCTCTGGCCCTCAGGTTAAGTGTCTGGAGGACGAACGGCCCCGCTGGGAAGACGAACTCTGCAAATACAGAGAGATCATTAACAGACAGAAGGCTGAGATCCAGAACCAGAGGGAAAAACTCACCGCTATCACTAGACTAGAGGAGCAGCACCAGAGGTCTGAACACTCGTGCCTACAGCAACCTACCACTGACCATGTCTATTATTAGTTCAGCTACCAGCTCACAGAGCCTCAACTATAAACTGCAGCCAATCTGATCTTTAGGACAAAATCTCTGAGTTTTTCAGGTCATGAAATGAGATTAATTTCTTGAGACTAGAGTTGTCACGATAACAATACCAGTGACATTTTTTTAAACCAATTTCAGTGCAAGGCAAACAATTTTCTACTGAACACAATTGTGTGATTGAACCTATCTGTAGTGTTGTCATTAATCAACATATCATGAACTAACAATTAACAATTTTTACAGAATTTATTAATCTAGGTATGCATGTTATAAATACATTCTGAATATTGATAAATATACTATAGGAAATGTACTATAATTAATTGATAATTCATGTTTTATATATGTAAAATAATGAAGTTATAAATAATTATTATAAATAATCATTATTAATGTATAATACTAAATAAATAATTTATTAAAATATCGGTGTGAAGCCTTTATGTATTAAAAAAAGAAAATAAAGTAAACATTAAATAATAAAATCAAGATCAAGGGGGAAAAAACTATATAACATATGGAATAGACTGGTGTTGTTATTGTTAAAGGAACACTCCACTATTTTTGAATATAGGCTCATTTTCAAACTCCCCTAGAGTTAAACAGTTGAGTTTTACCGATTTTGAATCCATTCAGCCGATCTCCGGGTCTGGCGGTAGCACTTTTAGCTGTAGCTTAACATAAATAATTGAATCTGATTAGACCGTAAGCATCTCGCTCAAAAATTACTAAAGAGTTTCGATATTTTTCCTATTTAAAACATGACTCTTCTGTAGTTACATCGTGTATTAAGACCGACGGAAAATGAAAAGTTGCGATTTTCTAGGCCGATATGGCTAGGAACTATACTCTCATTCCGGCGTAATAATCAAGGAACTTTGCTGCCGTACAATGGGTGCAGCAGACACAATGATATTACGCAGCGCCTGAAAATAGTCCCCAGCACGCTCCCTGTGCAAGCAGGTGGTTGGTTATGTTGACGGAAGTTAGCCTATTTTCAGGCGCTGCGTAATATCATCGCGCCTGCTGCACCCATAGTACGGCAGCAATAGTACGGCAGCAACACTAATATCAAACAAAAATATAAAAATGCCAAAAACACACAACACTGAAACATCTGAAATTTAAAAAACTGAAAATGTAAAAAAAATTATAATGGAAAAAATAGTGTTACACTAGACTTTACTCCCATTCCTCATCCTTATTTTTGTTTGTGTGGATATAAATGTGCATTCAACTCTAATCTATAATAATTCAGATAACATTACAGACTTTATTCTCTTTAGCATGTTTGAATGGCATCTGCATCCCACTTTCAGATCCTTAGACACATTAATTTTGCCGTGCTTCTGTTGAGCATGCAGCATCAGTACAGCAGCCTGACCTTGAGCGATCTCCCAGCGGTTGGTGGACCCTGCTGATGCAGGAACTGCAGGTGGATGTGAATCCACTGTAGCGTGATCACACGGGCCCCTGCAGCGCTGACAGAATAATTCATACCTCCGTGGCCGCCTCACAGGGGCTGCTCTGATTTCACTTCTGGTGGCCACATAAACGTGTCATTCAGCTCTATTAGCTCATTCTTATTTTGAGGGTATTTAAAAACTCTACTGCAGATGAGTTATGTGTATTCCTTAAGAATGACACACACTTTGTCTGTAGTATATTCATTTAGAGCCTTCAGTCGGACACTTTTATGGTCTGTGGAGTCATTTGGTCAGGTGGGAATACTGGTACACCATTATGATGAAACAAGACAAGGGTGGAAATCGCTTAAATATCACAGCCTGTACACGTGCTGGTCCTCGTGTCTGACGTGTACCTGTCTTTTTCAGGGATGATCAGGAGATCGCGTCCTTGCGGGAGGAGGTGGAGAATCTGAACTCTCAGATCACCGATTTGCAGAGGGACATTGAAGGCAGCAGGACAAGAGAGGCAGAGCTGCTGGGCTTCACTGAGAAATTGACCAGTAAAAATGCTCAGCTGCAGTCTGAGAGCAACAGCTTACAGGCCCAGGTGGACAGATTGAACAGCAGCTCCAGAGAGCTGCACAGCAAACTAGAGGAGACTGAGAGATCCCTCTCTGAGATGGTAAGAAGATTGCTTGTGTTAAACAGATTGGGGAGGTTGGGGAGGTTTCTTAAAAACAATACGATGCCAAGTAACAAGCTACTTGCAATTAAAAGTAGTTGAACTACAGCCAAGCTACTCTGAAAGTAGTTGGCCACAGTACAAGGCACTAAAAAAATATTACAATCCACATTTATTCAAGCTGTTTAAAAGTGTAATATCTTAACTATATAATTAACAGATAATTTATTAAAACTGTCCGGAATATTTATTTGGCATACAAACATTGATCTTAATTAGGGGGAGAGCATAACACTTGATCACAATTGCAATTATTAATAAATAACAGTTTTTATATCTGAAGTGAAAATATTTCTAAACAGCAGTGTTTAATTAAATATGTATTAGCCACAGAAAATGAGCAGTAAAACACCACTCAGGGAACACTACTGAGTAATGACTGAAATTAAATTATAATGATCTCATTTATTCCAATGAACCATTGCAATGAAACAAATTGGATTACTTCTCACTAGCTACAGTGCTACCTGTTAGAATAAATAGCTTCTTTGTTTGGTTCTGGAAAACCTACACTATTATTGAAATAGCTACGATTTTGTCATAACACTATTACTTTTGGTTGGTTACTTCAAAACACTGCACTAATTTGATATTAGACTTCTATCAATATGTATTGACTGGGCAGTTTAATTATAGCAACTCCTTAAAAGATACACGCACACACACAAAAAGCTTTTGTTTTGAAGCATTATTCGGTTTGTGTATGTTTTCAGACGGACAGATTGAAGAAAGAGGAGCAACAAAGACAGGAGGAAGTTCTGGCATTGCAGACAGAGAGAACAACACTACAGACGGAGACATCACAACTAAAGACACGTGTGGAGGAATTACGAGATGAACTGGTCACTCAGAAGAGAAAACAGGCAGCCAACATCAAAGACCTCACCAAGCAGCTCACGCAGGGTTAGCACTTTTCTCAAGCTGCTTAAATTTCACTGTTTATTGATTTACATTTATTTTTACGTATTTACTTATTCTTTATTGTTGATTTGTTATGTATATATTTTATTTATTTATTTTTTTTTTATATTGAGTCCAGAAATAGTGAGAAATTATCTCAAATGCTACAACGTGCTTTTGCAAAACAAGCTTTTCATGGTCAAGAAGGATGTTAAGCATCAAACTGGCTTTTAACCCAAATTTACCCATGCTACCAAAACGATCAAAGTTGATTACTAAAGGAAAAACAAAATCACCATAAAATCAAAATCTGGAATTTGTTCGTAAACAACAGCGAAAGTGGCTAATATGTGTAGCTATGTAAGAAAAAGCGGTATTTCATGCAGTCTCGGTGTGTTGCGTAATGTTCATGTTTTCTGAGGATGAGAGTATGTCACACAACAGGTCCATGCTGGCATCTTTCTAATTTGGCTCGCTTCTACCAAGTATCTCCCGCCAAAATACTGTAGAGTTGGACGCACAACCTTTGACGTCAATATGGGAAATATTCTCCTCCCTTTAAAAAGCGGATTTATTTTTTCCTCATGCTGTTTGCTCTCTCAGAGCATCCCCTGGGTTGCGATATATGACCCTCCAATTAAGAACCCTTGATGCGAATAATTTTAATGCAAAATGAAAGACAATAAAGTAACAAATCATAACATAATTACAAAAAATGTCTATATCGTTCCACTCTCATATTGTTTTCTCCTCTGTGTCTAGATGTCTTAACTAAAATTTGATTTGTTATTTTAATAGGCTCGCAGTGAGTTACTTCTCCACGCTCCCAGGAGCCCACAGGCGCTGTTAGTAATTATCAAGCCATATTGACGCTCTCCGTGGGGCAGACTGACGTTCATTGCAGACAGATTGAGTTTATGTATCTGTGCCTGCCTGTAGCCGCAGGAAAGGCTAGGTTAGGGCACAAGACTGTTTCATAGCGTCTTTTCTTTGAGAGGAGAGACGAGGAAGGGAGGGCAAGGGAGAACAACGTGCGCCATGGGACTCTCTTTAGTGTCGGAGGAGGCATACAGTACGTGAAGGTATTTTTAAACAAATCTATATTTTCCTCCTCCTCTTTTTTGGGTCCCTGTGACCTTCAGTATCTTTTCAAGGTCTGCATGTTAAATGTGAACCTTAATTCTGAATAGTTGACGGGCACTACAGATGTGCCTGGTGGGTGGGAATTTTATGGTGGGTCATAACCCCCCCCAGCAGATGCAGCGCTAGAATGAGGCACTGAGCGGTACAAGCACAGGTCATTAGGCCATTACTGTTACTGGGGTGTGTTTTTCAACCAGGAGTGTGTGTGTTTGTTAGTGAGAAAGAAAGAACTTATTGTGTGCTTGTGCCCTTGTGTAGCTCGTAAGAAGCTGGAGCAGGTGGAGAATGGAGGATGTGATCGAGAAGGAAGCAGCATGGGCAGCAGACTTCTTTAGTCTTTGCAACTTTACAGATCTTCTTTATGCACCAAGAGCTTGTAACACTCCAAAGAGAGGACAAATTGAAATTGCGTCATATGACCCCTTTAATATTTATGCGTTTAAACCCTGTGGAATACTGACCTGGTTTACTTTCTTGTAAGTGTGTGACTGTAACCTGCAATTTTTAAGACTGAGACATGAGTCAGTCAAAGTGAATTTCTGTGGTGATCATCGTTGCCAGTAGCATTTGTGGCATAAATCTTAACATGTACTGAACCCAAAATGTTCTTCACATCTAAGTGCCAAGTTTCTTATCTGTGTTGTTTGTAATATTGCTCTTATAGTGTGACTGTAGCTGCAGTGTTTTGAATCTCTTACTTTCAGGCTCTCTAAATGCACGAGGCAGCAGTATGGATGATCGCTCTCCAGAGAATCAGTCCGGTTCATCGGTGGTAGTGGTGGACAGCTTCCCCGAGGTGGACAAAGCTGTGCTAGTGGAGCGCATTGTGCGGTTGCAGAAAGCACTTGCTCGTAAGAACGAGAAGATTGAATTCATGGAGGACCACATTAAACAGTTGGTGGAGGAGATCAGGAAAAAGACAAAGTGAGTGAGAACGAAAAAGACAAAGTGGAAGGTAAAAGACGATGGAGAAAAGCTTATTTGCTCCCATCCCAAAGCTTAATTTGACATTTACAAAAGAGCTTGAAGCTGCCTGGCTGACATTGATAAATATGTTTTCCTATATATCCAAAGTTGTGATGAAGAACACCAAATAGAATCCATGAGTTTAATAGAAAATTAATAATGCAGAAGGATACAGTGGCACCAGAAAGCATTTGGACACTTATGCCACACTGAAAAATGTATGACTGTCTAATAAAATATCAAAATGTGGCATTTATTTTTTAATTAATATAGCACAAATTTGCCCACACAAAAATGTTGGAAAAGCCAAACCCATTAATAAAAACACAAGTTTGACTTGTAGTGTGTTTATTATTTAACACTGTTATATCTGACCTGATCAGGCAATTTTAAGTGTCCAAATATTTCTGTAGTGTTGCCACTATAGAGTAGCTCTGAGCTCCTGGTTTGGAGAATTTCTCAGTGCTGCCCTTCCTTTCCATCTGGTTGGATTTGGCTGGTCATTGTCCCTCTCTTGAATCCTCTCTTTCTCTTAAATTTTTTTTTCGTTGTTTTTTTTTTCTTTATTTATTGTCTGGGGCTTCCTGACCAAGGCTTGTATCTTGAAATCTGGCAGACATCCATCTTTTTCTTTCACACACACACTCACACACACACTGAGCTAACCTATGTTTCTGACAGAGAGGTCTTGGCAGTGATATTTATAGCTGTCGGTTCCTGCGGGAGTGATGCATCACCGAGGTTACTAATGATACCTGATACATATTCATACGCACCTCCATACATGAGGAATCAAGCTGGCGGTGCACATTTCGCCACAGAAAAAAAGCATATTTTTGCTAAACAAAGTGAATGGTCTTAGAGAACGAGAGCACTTTGTTTATGTCTTTGGATAAGATAAATAATTTAACATGCTGCAGAGGGCTGCGAGTTGGGTTGCCGCCACCGCTCTGGACAGAAATGCCGTTTCTGTCCCTTTCCCATCACTTGAGTAATGATAGACCTTGAATCGGTCCACCTGCACTAACCCACATTCATTAGTTCTAATCAAAGACGCATCCCATTGAGGTCAGGCTTAATTTAGCCTCCTTAGCTGATCTTTAGCCATTACTTGCAGCTAAGCTTCCTCAAAGAGTCCAAGCAGTGGAATGTTTCCCAGTGTTTATCGACTGTTGCCGTTTGAGTGATTCTTTGACACACGGGAAGGTTAGATCTGACCGGTTCATCGTTCAAGGCTAAGTGGAAATTGATTACAGCATAAAACTGAGGTTGATTTAATAAGGTTTCCTTGATTTAACAGCGTGACTACACCTAGCTGAGGATTTCCATTTATCTCTAAAGAGATAAGCCTAAGTATACTCACTGCGCCTCATCAAGGGCGGTTAGAGGAAATAGCTGATGTTCTGGAATTGATACCAAGTGACGTTGGATTTGCATGTGATAAATTTTTTTTGGAATGGTGCATAAATCGTTGCTATATTTAGTGGTGTTTGCTAAATTTGAACAAACCTCTTACCTAAATTTGAGCATGAGCAAATCATACAATGGCTTGGTGTGGAGAGGTATGCTATTACTTTTTGAGATTTTTGTCTAGCGGATGATGAAATGTGTGGGAAAAAAATTATTGAATGTTTAGACTCTGAACCCCTCGAATTGACATGCGTCCCCCGAAGGACCAGTATATCATCAGAACATTGGAAATCATGGAAATATTGTCAGGTGAACTCCAACATTGTGGCAGTTTTGCACAGACAAGGGTCGTTTTCAGAAACTTTAATAATGTAGTTTGAGATCGTAATGTATGAAATGCTGTCTGACTGCAAAGGCTGGTTACTTGTATGGGTATTTTTTGGCCCATATATGTTTTGATCAACACTTTTGCATATTGATTGAAACAGGGATGCGCTGTCTAGATTAATCTTTGATATTAGCTTTGATTTGATAAGCTCTTTGATATGAGCTCTCATCTTTACTCATGCTTCAGCTGTAGTGCTAGAAACTCACAATCCTCATAAAATAAACATAAAGATTCACATTTTGTCTTTTGATTTCTTGAATGAAGACAGAAGCTTAGAAGTCACATATACGAACAGACTGTCAAATCCAAACTATCTTTATTTGACTCTATGGCTTGTGTCTGTTTTTCTACACACTCCTGGTGTTCTCGCTGTCTTATCTTTCACTTTTTCTGCCTCTAGGCTGTGAGAATCAGACCATGCCACTGCGCTTAAGCTATAACTGTGATCTCTTTTGTACAAATAGGTCTTCAAATCAAAATCAAATGTCAGAATGGTGTCAGAGCTGTGGCACATGATGTACTGTAGTCCGGCCTGGGTCATGTCCTGATCCAATTCCCCCTCTCTTTCCCTCAAGTTTACTGTCAGTTCTCCACTGTCCTATATAATAAAAGCCAATTAAAAAATCAGTAGTAGCAGTGGATTACTACCAAATTGTGCAGGTAACTTACAATAAATTCCAGTTATTGTTCATGCATGTTTAGTTAGAGGCAACTTTTTAATTTCTTTGTGTTTCGTTTTGTTAAATACTACCGTTATGGAGCTGGGGTCCACTTGGACCCCATATTAGTGAAAGGTAAGTTTATTCGTTTTTTTATATCTTCTTTCTTTTGTGTGTGCCTATGTGTATGTATATGTATATGTGTGGGTGTTCGTCCTTTATGTAGCATCAGCACATCGCAGAGACTTCGTTTGCCAAGCAAATGTGAATTTTCCCTGGTTTCTTTTCTGTCACACTGATAAATAACCACTCTGAGACATTTTGAGTCATCAGGATGGAAAAAACACAACTCTTTTTAAAAGTTTGTTTGATATAGATGCCCCAGTGTGTTCATTTCAGATTCAGACAGTGAAATGAGAGTGAATTCATCAATTCAGAAAGCACTTACATAGTTTTCTTTTTTTTTTTTGTTCTCAGGCGGAGACCTTTAGCCTCGGGTCCTCTAATGTCTTTGTCTCGAGCATTGGTCTGAAGAAACCATTAGAATCGAATTCAGCCTTTATTTGGGCCATGCGTCACTGCATACAAAATAGATTTGATATAGTGGTGGCTAAAGAGAGAACTCTCTCCTGGAGACTAAAAGATCACTCCATCACTACATCATCCTTTATAGAAAACCACACAGGCTGTTTTTTTTCCTTTTCCCTTTCTATTCCAGCATATTACATGAACAACAATAGTGATGGAGATGATAATTAATTTAGATTTCCATCTGCCCACCACTGTGGTTCAAATTGAAGCATTTTAAGCTGAATTATGTTTTTTATAACTTAAAGCTTTTTTAAGATCTCTAAAACTCTGGGTATAAAGTGTGTTCTCCTCTCGTCTTTTTTTTTTTTTTTACATCAATTACGATTACAACAATTAGGGTTGACATTTTGGTAGCAATTTGAACTAGGAAATGATAAATCATATGTATCGTTGTTATTATTATTAATATGACCATTATGAGCTTATTTTTTATATATACTCCTAATTCCAAATTTGGTGAACCGCTGTCATCTTTTTATTTCTGTGCTCTGGTGTACTTTTATTTCTCTGAGCCTTGTTTTCATTCAGGTAAAGTTGCATATAACCTTTTACACTTGTTAAGGACTTTTACGCAAGGCCATACTATGACTTCAATTTAATTTGATTAATTGAAAACCAATCTTTTATATACTTTCTTTCAAGAAAAGCCGTTAACCAAAAAACCTTTCAGTCTTAAATCAAAATCAAGAAGCCTGTCCCTTATCTACACTTAGTAGATGACCACTATATTCATTCACTAATTAAAATAGGCTAATTGATTTTTTTTCAGGAAGTACGCCTGCAAAACTGACAATGGCATGAAAAGCTTTTTCAATGAAATGAGTGTCACGTTAAATAAAACTTATGAGACCAGCTGGCTGAGATTTAGCAGTTCAAAGCCTTCTAATCTGTTATTTGTGAAACTCATTTATCATCTAGAGTGAAAGAGAGAGACACTGATGAGGTGGATACGGCTAATGGGGTCCTAAAGGCTGCCGTCTTTCCCTCTTCTCTCCCTGGGTTTGTTCGTAACATCACCTTTTACCTCCTTGCTGAGGGTTATTAATGTGGCAATGGCCTTTATGGCTTGAGAGTTCATTGACACTTAAAATTGCTATGTGTGCATGTGCATATATGCTATTCAGCGCACGATGCAGTTAAAATTCTGTGTGTTTCCTGCAGGATTATACAAAGTTACGTGCTCAGAGAAGAGTCTGGAGCTTTGTCTTCAGAAGCCTCAGATTTTAGCAAAGCCCATCTGAGCCGGAGGGGAGGTATCATGGCATCGCTGTACACCTCCCATCCCGCCGACAGCGGCCTCACTCTTGACCTCTCACTGGAAATCAACCGCAAACTCCAGGCTGTGCTAGAGGACACCCTGCTCAAAAACATCACACTGAAGGTAGAAGTCACCATACAGATCCACACCACCCACCCTATGAAGTTAAAATAGGAGTTTTGTGGCTTGTAGGCCGTATCTTTTAGTTAGTTTTAAGCCATTTAAGCCATTTAATTGCTAATATACACTGGGCCAAAAACAATATCATATCAAGATTGCAGTGAAGTCGATAATGATGATAAGCTCTTGACATTTTTACTCAATATGGGTTAATCTAACAGCCTATCACACACAGCAAAAATAAACAAAACAACAGCCAGTCAGTGCTTGTCGCTAATAAATCTGCAAGTTCCGCATGTCTCTCTCTGTGAAGAGATGTCTGCCGACTCGGTATATGAGGACAGTCCATGTGAACTTCATCTCCAGAGCTACTCCTAGAGTCACTTCACAAGCATTTAACCATTTTATATGAGAAAAAACTACCGTCAAATGCACACTGAAACTGAAAGCTCTTCATGGCAAACTGTCAAAATAAAAGTTTTGCTTAACTTGAAGAAATGATGACAAAAATATTTTACTAAATGAAATCAAACTAAATAAAAATGTAATTCTTAATGATAATAAAATTATTTTTATAATTATTTTATTATATGTTGCCCAGCTTTAGTATACACTTAAAGGTGTGATCACATAAAAGGGTCCATTGTAAATAGTGTGGTGACTTACAAAGCACTTTGAAACCAGGTAGCTTTCTGTTTGTCATCGCAGCGAATTTGCATGGTCAACATGAATACGAGCAAAATATATGGGGAGCTATTTTGCCATTACACAAAACTCACAATTGTGCAGCATTTACCCTAAAGGTTGATTTACGTAGATTCATGGCTACACAAAACAAGTGATGAACCCAGTATTAAAATTCTGTAAGCCAGTAATTATTTTCATGTTCATATTTTGTATGAATACTATAATAAAAAATCAGTCATTTTGAATGCTACAAGTGGATTTAGGCATCACAACATTATAATGTACAGTATAAAAAAAATTATATTTGGATTGCTAAGCATTGGATGACGGCAAAGGTAATGTGTATGTGCAATATCCAAAAATGATCGATGCAATAAATATTTAGTATTAGCAAGTAACTGATGTGGTACCAATATATTATGTATTCATAGACAAGCCTCTTTATGTGTCCCACTCAAACCTTCTGATTCAACAGGAAGTACATCAGCGCCTAAGAGAAAATTGCACTCGTCAAATGGTTTCACGGGGTCTCTATGTCCTTTCACAGCATGCGTTTGCAACAGTGTGGCCATATATAGACAAACTAGGTGTTGATATATTTATGTTAGTATTGAGTTCCACAATGGCATCCGCTGATGTAATTGCAATTATTAAACTAAGCTTCTGCATAACTAGAATTCTGGTGATGCTATCGGAAGAAAAGCAAATTTGGTGGTGATGGATGACTGTTGAGTAAGTGGGCAAATTCCCATGCTGGCAGTGACCAGTTCTCAGTTATAGAGCCGCATCCAGGTCACAACAGGGACAGCAGCTTTCCTGTTTGAGGGAGCACATCAGCAGGGAGATCAGAGAAATTAATAAAGTATGTTTTGAGGACAGTGCGCAAGGGGAACGCAGAGCTCCATTCAAAGCACAATGGCAGGATTACGATCTTAGCATGAGATGAGCAGGAAATCAGACCGTTTCAAAGCAAAACGGCCAGAAATTGCCTGATTATCCTAGCTTACATTCTCGCTTTTCTCAGATGTGCCTCTTTTTGCTTTCTGTGTATATGAATTGAATGGCAGTGGAAATAATAGCGTAAGTCCTCACAGCTGTCTGATTTGTTTCTCTCGCTACAGGAGAATCTCCAAACGCTGGGTTCGGAGATTGAACGACTAATCAAACAGCAAAGAGTGCCGGAAGACACCGCCGGAAGGAAGTGAAGTCATTCGAGGGGAAGGATGTTACAATAGCACATGCTGTAAGACTGAGCCCGTTACGAAACGATTTACGCAGTTCGGGATCAAAACAGTGCTCTTTTCATCAGACAAGTTCAATCTGTTTTATACACTGGAGGCACAGTTCAAAACAAGGACTGAACTGCGCTAACTAAGGAGACTTGTGTGACAAATGACTGGAAAGCAAAGAGATTACCAAGAGCCTGTGCTCACTTTTTTCACGTCGTGCCCAACTGTCCTCTCTTCGCCATCCCCTGCGATGTAGCCTCCTCATCTGTGCCTTGATGACTCAGTTCATCAGGTTCAGAGCAGAATTGTAGTCCGAATCCAACAACGTGGTGTTTGAAGTTAGCAGATAAATGACTATTCTCATAAATGTGACCCCACTCTCTTATGAAGAACAAAATGTGCTGGACTAATGGAGATTCTGCAGCTCTTTAGAGACTTTTTCCTCTATTCATTGCACCGCAGGTTAATGGCCGCTCCTCGCCACTCTTATACAAACGTGCCAATTAATGAATGTATTATGTAATGAGAAGGACCCTTGCATCTAATCCCACATGCTCTGACCCAGGAGTGTGGGCAACATTCCCCGTTTGAGCTGCTGCTAGGTTACTGCTACACCCGGATAGCATTATCTCTTGCTCGCAAAGCACTTAGGCGAGAAGGGCCATGCCAAAAAACACAGCTCTTGCTCTGTCTCATTATGAAGTTAAACAGATTAATCAGAATGAGTAACTACATCTCAGAAATGTTGATGCATGTAGGGCTAGTCTTAAGGGAGCTTGCGGTTCATTCTATCTGGATTAAGTTGTAATTAAATATTATTGTTTCCCCCCCCCCCCCCCTTCTACCTCTGCTTATATGTTTTCTGTAGAAACAACCTTATTATTTTTATGCTCCAGCTTTTTTTTTTTTATCAATTATTTTCTTGTGTATGACGTTCCTGTGCTGCTTTTGAAGAGTTTGTTGCTCCCCAAAGAGACTGTAAGAGAGTATAAAATCCCTGTGAAATGAAGGAGACATTGTAAATATTAAGGGCAAAAGTGCAATTTTAACCCCCTCTTTGTTTGTTCGACTGAGCCGTAATCGCCCCAGCCAGCGGCCCATCTGAGACTCCAGCAAAATCCATCCAGTTCCGTGGTGATGTAACCATATGGTACACAACATCGTGCAGAGTTGAATCCATTCCAACCGATGAATTGCGAATGCCTGAGGCATCACTGGTCTGCTTCTCCTTCCGTCCCTTCATGCGGGGGTGCATGATGAAGGATCGCCCCGTCGGATGCTGCTGATGGATTTTTTTACGTTCATCTTTAGAGCAGATAATTGGCAGATCTCAGCCAGTTTACCAACCATTTTAGTGCCGTTCTCAGTCTTCTGGATTTTCTCACGCTTGAGCCGCTATTGAAAGTAAAATCATGCCCATACACTGTGATTAAGGGTTTATAATAACTTGACATACTGCAATATAAGTTTGTCAAGGTCATATCAGTTGTTCTAACACTGAGAGCCTGCGCTCTAGCTCTCAGCACTCCCAAATTGCAAACACATTGCAGATATTCCGGAAAACGCTGGATGAAGGAAATTATGCAATGCTAGCAGGAAAATAAGCATTTACACAGAGCCCTTAATAGCGAATTGAGGACTCTATAATATGTCGGTAATTTATCAGTGTACTTTACATTCATAATTTATTTAATGTCTCAAAATACTAGAACGATCTCTTGAAGCATGTATGTGTGTTTGTGAATGGTGAATTGAAACTGATGGGAAAAAGAAAAAAATCCTGTATTGATGGTCTGTCATTTGTGCTCTGCTTGACTGTATAGTGAGTGAAACTGTGATTATAAATTTGTAGATATATTGTACAATGGTCCAGTGTTTTTAAACTTCTGGAGTTTACTGTATATATGACGTTTAAAGGGGATTAAAATGAAAATATTATAATCGGACGTTGTTTTCATTTGTTTTAAACCTTTAATCTATTTTCTATAAAAAATGGTTTTAAGCCGTAATAAAATCATTTAATTTTTTTCATATTTTATTTTCTATTTATATTACTTGTATTACTTTTATATATTTATATTATTTTGTGTATGAATTATATAATCTAGCTAAATCCTGATTTTGTGCATATTAACAGTGAGTGATGTGGGAGAGTTGTTTTTTCCTCCCTAATAAAACCCTATTTATTTTTTTGCCACCATAACTATTCAAGATTAAATGGTTAGTTGCGTTTTATTACTCCATTTAATCTTGCATTTTCCCTGCTGTCTGCAGCCCTATCAGAGCTGCTGCCCATTTTTAGTGACTTACAAGGTGACTTATGGGTCAGTGCACAAATCACGAGTCTCCCCCGACCAATTTTACCTGCATTGCTGTAAGTAACATTATGTAACAGTAACAGGTGATGTCCAAAGCCAACAGTTTTTGTGTACTGAGCCTTGACTTTTCAATATTTTTCGAACAGAAAAGAACTGCTCATATTGGGCAGATCAACATAAAGAAAAGTTGTTAGAATTTTATTACAAAACTGGTAGTAATAATAACATTTAAACTACTTTTTCGAATGCACATTGCATCTACCCCTATTAACTGATTTTTTAGGCAAACTGCCGCAGGACATTGAGTACTGGAAACTCACTTTTGAAAAAGAATTTAGGTGGTGCATTTCCTGTTAGCTTCGACCTGCACTAATAATAGACGTAGTTACACAAATGGCTGAATGTGTTTATCAAACAGAAGAAATGCACACAAGATTTTGCTATCTGAACAAACCTCCTACATGTACAGCAACAGCTTCAACTTTCAAAAATTAAACTCCTGCAACTCTTCCTCTACAGTACTCCTCTGTCTTTTATACTGGACACTTGCATCCTGCTTGCTTTAAATTCATCTCACCTGTGTGGCATTTCAGAGTCTGCTGGAGGTGTTGAGAGATGGCATGTTAAAACATTCTGTACATGGCAAAGAGCCATTGCGTAGGCTAAACTCAGATCAGTGCCTATTTTTAGCACCTCAAGATAACGTGCTCCGACACTCATATCAACCTTGGAGACCCCCAGAGAATTCATGAGCCTCATTCAATGCTTTCGACTATCTGCGAGGTCTTGTCGTGAGCAACAGGAATGTTTGTGAGGTTATCCACGTTTTGCAAATATATCTCTACGTAAATATAATCAGATCCAGATTCTTATTTTTAGGAAGTAGCATTTTTCCAATTAATTGTCTTTATCTGGTTGAACATAAAATGCACAAAACAGGAAAATATAGGCTATACACGGCCAACTTGTGAAAAACTCATGTCGACACGTTCATGTTTTTTTTTCATGTCTTTTTCTGAAAACATTAATGCATCTAATTTTCTCCAATACCGAATATAATATTTCTGTTGAGTAGAAAATTAAACGTTGCAAAATTAGTACATGTATTTACTCCTGAAGTAATGTTTTAATGAGAATACTAATGTATTATTATTGTTCTTATTAATCTTCTTATTAATTTTACGCGATTCAGTAGTGAGTTACGGAATGCGTATTCACAAGGGGATTTACATATTAGGTCACGTGACAAATTTTTTTTTTATTTCTTCTTCTTTTTTTTTTTTTGAAGATGTAAGTAGCCTACTTAATTGAAATATTACTCGTATTACTAGTAATTGTAATATAGGCTAGTTCAAACGGGGGCAATAAATAGCCTATTCTAAAAAATATAGGCCTATATATAATGTCGATTTTCCTTGTTTATTTTTATGAAAAGATTAAGCCGTTTAATTGTCGTCATGATGCGCATTTTTCTGGTTTTCTTTTTGGTTATCGTAAAAAAAAAACACCTTCAAGTAATTTACTTGAAGTGATTAACACGGAGTTTTACACTGTTGTTTCATGTCATAAATCTAATTTTGACCCATGAAAAGGATTATCATAGTTTTCATCATCATACACTTCCAGAGGTGGACAAAGTACTCAACTCCATTACTTGAGTGAAAGTACAGATACTGCTGGTCAAATATTACTCCATTACAAGTACAAGTTGTAAAGACAGATTTTTACTTAAGTAAAAGTACAGAAGTACTTGCTTTTAAAAGTACTTAAGTACCAAAAGTAAATTTTTACTGTTGTATGTAATACTTGCAATACTTCTGAAGCAACTTACAATACATTACACCTACTGAATACACTGACTAGCTTGTAGTATCTTTGAAATAAAGAGCTTTTAGAATGTTAAAAACCTATGGGGAAAAAAACCAAAACATAAATAAATATATATATATAAATATATATATATAAATAAATAAATAAATATTTAACACCCCTACCCACCCCCACTCCACAAAACTCAGTTCGCGCACGTGCAAAACGCACTTTTGCGCGCTCAAAATATAATCTTTCGCACACAGAATTGTGGCAGAATTGTAATCCCATATTCAATCACATTTGAACAGAGTGGACAGTGAAATCCTGTAAATACAGAGTGATAAGGAAGAAACAAAATCAAACTTGCTTTAAAACCCAGCAACACAACTGTAGCTGTATAACTTTACAACAGCAACACTGCTTTAACAAAAAAGCAAAACAGCAAGGCTTATTTGACATCAAAACAAAAATTCAAAAAATGCTGTCTAATCACTCTCGTGGTATTTTATTGTCACACACAGAACGGTCTGCGCAGTGCTGCTTCAAGTCAAACACCTATTGTGTTTTATTAGGAGATGCACAACAGTTCTTCTGTGGCTTTATAGGTAATATTTTCAAGTACACAATTTAGCAAAATCAGACAATATTGTGTCTAATATATACCACAATATTAACTTCTTATATTAAATTGTTATAAATAAATATCACATTTGCAACTGGTCAGTGTTCAAAAAATGCTGGGAAATCACTTCATGTAGCCCTACAAGAGTGATTACTGATAAACTGTCTGAAAAAAAAGAAAGTCACATTTTAGAGAAGAAAAAAATCACCCACTGACTTTCAAAGCTGCTATATAGTAACGACTTTCTACTTCGAGGACCTTGATAGAAATGTAGTGGAAAAGGTAGTACAATATTTGTCTTTCAAATGTGGTAAAGTTAACGTCATAAGTTCCCAGAAAAAATAATACTCAAGTAAAGTACCGATACTCAAAAAGTGTACTTAAGTACAATACTAAAGTAAATTTACTTAGTTACACTCTTAAAAATAAAGGTGCTTCACGATGTCATAGAAGAACCTTTTTGTCTAAATGGTTCCATAAATAAACTTTAACACCTGAAGAACCTTTCTGTTTCACAAAAGGTTCTTTGTGGCGAAAGAAGGTTCTTCAGCTTACAAAAAGGTAAGAAAGAGATGGTTCTTTAAAGAACCTTTGACTGAATGGTTCTTTGTGGAACCCAAAATGGTTCTTCTATGGCATCGCTTGAAGAACCTTTTGAGTAAATTTACTTAGTTACACTCTTAAAAATAAAGGTGCTTCAAAAGGTTCTTCAAGCGATGCCATAGAAGAACCATTTTGGGTTCCACAAAGAACCATTCAGTCAAAGGTTCTTTAAAGAACCTTTGACTGAATGGTTCTTTGTGGAACCCAAAATGGTTCTTCTATGGCATCGCTTGAAGAACCTTTTGAAGCACCTTTATTTTTAAGAGCGTACTGTCCGCCTCTGTACACTTCACAGTACAGTAAGTGTGAGCGTGGATATTGTGATCCGAAAGCGCTCTTCAGAAAAGGTGTCGAATGGAAACAAAACGACACTGGAATGAATGGAAGGCAGCCAGGCGTGCACAGGTAACGTTATATATAAGTGAATGCCATTCTCTCAACACCTCATAAGGCAATTATGTATTAGTATTAACCATGTAAGCTGTTGACCAACTTGAGAGGGAAAAACACGAGAGCGTTTTATCTCCATGATGTGCTCCTGGCAGCCATTGACTGACATTAACCAACGTGCTGCCGCTCCAGACCAAGTGGTCCTTAACTCAACTAAAGATGTGTAATGGCAGTCAAAGCGAAAACGTTTTGAACTTGTTCACCAACTGCTATTAATAGACACTTAACGTTTGAAGTAAGCAAATGTACTGTTCACTGACCACAGTGAGCTAATCTTTTCTACTTAGGTCAATGTGCGTTTCTCTGTGATTCTCCTGATTTGAGCACAGCAGCATTTGAGCTTTCAAGCAAATAAAAGCAGGCCCACATTGAGCCATTACGTAAAGAGTCATCAGAGAATGATAAACTAAGAATAAGCTTTCTGATTAATGAAGCAGATTCAATGCTGATAAAGCAACCAAAGCCCAATCACATGTGCACCATTTGTTTCAACACAAGAGCCCTGATCTGTCACGTCTGTCCGGATACAAATTCCTGCCAAGCAAACGGTTGCTAATAACAAGGTGACATGCAGCCAGGAGTGTATTCATGATGTGGGCAGTGTTGTTGTTGTGAAGCGCTGCTCTGTTGTATTAGCACAGGTAATCACATTTAAATAAGGTTCATTAGCCGAAGCGATGCGGACATATTGCATTCAGCGACCCTGAGGCAGATTTAAATGCGTGAGGGCTCTGGGGACAGCTCAGAGCATTAATGCATTTTAAAGCATCCAACCTCTTGTAAGTAATAGCACACAACTGTGAGTTCAAATGAAATTTATTCCCTAAAAGCTTTTCTTTCTTCTTTTTTTCCTAAGCACATGGCATTTCACATCTGGTTATATCTAGAAGGAATAAAATGATAAGCAATAAAACGGGACCTGAAAATGTTTTTTTGTTGTTGTTGTTGTTTGTTATTTATTGAACATAAAAATCATTTTTAAAATTAATGAGGAAAAGTACAATTGTATTATACGTAATATATTATAAATCATTTTAAAATGCCATTTAATATATTTTAAAATGTCATTTATTCCTGTGATGTCAAAACTAAATCTTCAGCCATTACAGTCTTCCGTGTCACATGATC